ACTCTCGCTCGCTGTTTCCTGATCTGTCCTTGTCCACCTCACTTAGGAGCACACTCAGCTGATAGATTCTACTAATTTCTAGCGCTCTGCTTGGTTTTCTGCAGTGCCCTGGAGCCTCAATTGCTCTAAAGCTATTTAAGTTGCTGATCCAGTTAAATTGGGGTAATTTGTGAGGTAAGTCTTTGCAGTGGCTTCGGTTACCAGGCAGCTCTTCTCCACCTTCCTGGCTCTCGGTAGTGAGCTAGGTGGAGGCCTGTGTCCGTGCCCCGAGAGCTGAGATGAGGTGCATGGTCCCTGCCAAGCTCTGCTTAGGGTGACCCTGGGCGTAGTAGGGAAGTCCTTCCAGAGGACTCACCTCTTCTGGTCAGAACCAGGGAGGTGAGAAATGCAGCCAGCCTTCCACTCCCGTGCTATCCTTGGCCCTCTGCAGAGCTGAGAGGAGAAGGTGACCGTCCTCTTGGCTACAGCCCCTGCAGTGGTCTCCTCAGTATGCCGGAAGCAGGTGGGAGTAGACTGGGAAGACGCAGCTCATGGCCAGAGTGCTGTCGATTCAGTTTTTACTCTTAGTACTTTTTCCTGAGTAAACATTTCTTCATCTGCTACAGCTCCTTGGGATAAGCTAACCCCTTGGGCTCACCTTGCTCTCATCTCAGTGGCCTCTAAATAAACATGGGGGGCAGGGGGCCTGGATGCTTTGAGGTGGCAATTTGCCCTGCCCTGCCCTGTGGCTGAGTTGGCCTAGTCAGTGAGAGCAGATAGATTTGCCCAGGGAGACTCGTAGACTGCAGGGAAGTGAAGCCAGGGCAGGCTTGTGGTGCATGACGTTTGAGGGAGCCAATTGAGAAGCTTGAAAAGCCTGATGAGAGGACAAGCTCAAGGTCACTGGCTAGGGAAAGAGTGCGCAGATGCGCTCAGCTTCTGCAGGGCCCTGAGCTGGCTTTGGAGGCCCCTGTGCATGTTGTGGCCTTTTCAAGGGGGTCCTTGCTCGAGACCCCTTCCGTCTCTATGTGTCGTTAGTTCCACACCATCACTTCCACAGTCAGGCTAAGAAGTCCTCCATTATTAACGCCCACACCATTTTCTGGCTATCGCAACAACTTTTTCATCCTGAATCAGGCACTGTTTATTAAGCAGTCACTGTGCACGGAGTACAGAGCCCTGGGAAGTAAAGTTGAGCAGGATGCGTCGCTGCCTGCTGGGTGGGTGGGCCCGAAGCTGGGCTCTGCTGTGCCTCCAGTTCTCTCGCGTTTGGCGTGGCTCCTGATACTTTGTTCTTACGTCCTGACTTCAGGACTCAGTGGATTGTGGTGCCAGGTATTCTAGGGTCACAGTTCCTTGAGCATTTCTTCCCCACTGTCCTGTAACTACTCTAGTACCTCACCTTTGCAGTGGCTTCGGTCTTGCTGTTACTATAATTCATATGCACAAATACAAGTATAGAAAAGCAATGATAACTGAATAGCAGTGGCTTCATGGTATATGCTGTTATGTTACCGCTACAGCTTTATCCTTTATTATTATTTTTTCTTATGCATTTAGTACAGGGGATACAGGGTCTACAGGGTCTCACTACGTAGATCAGACTCAGTGATTCTCCTGTGTTCAGCCTCCCAAGTGCTGGGATTACAGGCATGCGCCACCATGACCCATCTTTGTCACTGTCTCAGCACACCCCGAGAGTGGGGCCAGCAGGGCTCTGACTGCCTTTTAGTCTTCCTGAAGGGTTTTCCTTTTACCCTTTTTATTGGTTGTCACGTAACTTTTTGTAGTGATGCATATTGGTTCTATTTTAATTCATATTTGGGTATGTGGAATGGCTGGAAATTTGTCTTTCGGGGGAGAACTGTATTTTTTGTTTTGGTTCAGTATCTTGCTGTGTAGTCCAAGCTGGACTTGCGCTCACTTCTTAGCTCAAGCCGGCCTCAAGCCTGCTGTGATTTTTCTGCTCAACCTTCTGAGAAATAGAATTGCTCCATGCCTGGCAGGAGAATGCTTTTATCATTATTTTGTTGATAATTTCCTTCCCTCTTTTTTTTTAAATGTTCCTTTTTTTTTTTTTTTTTTTGTAGCACCTATTTCCATATTCTACCTGTTTGGTTTTCCTGTCTTTCCTTCCTGCTTTCCATTTTTCTCTTTTTCCTATACTCCTGATAGATTTCCTTAAATGTATCTTATAATCATTTAGTTGGAGTATTCTGCTTTATTATTTTAATTTCTATGCAGTCTTTATTGTAATTTGTATTCCTCTATTAATATGTGATTGACAAACACAGAGCTATGTGTGTTTAATATATGCAATTTGATGAATTTGAAAATGCGTAGAAAGCCCTGAAACCACCCGCCTATGCCGCGAGCATCGTCACGTACAAAAGTTGCTCCCAGCTCCCCCGGTGACCTCCATAGGCAGCCGTGAGGAAGCAGAGAGGACGATGTCCAGCAGTTGGCAAGGGGCGGCGCTGGGCCCTGGCGGCGGGACCAGTGCAGCTGCACATAGGCCAGCCCCGGAGGCCCGTGCCTCAGGGTTGTGGCTGCTGCTCCGCTTGGTGCTCTCATCTGTGAGCGCCTGTGACTCCCAGTTCTTCAAAGATGTAGCGCTTCTCAGAGGATTGGAGTCCTCTGTTCTGCATGGTTTGGGAGTTAGTTTTTGAGACCTTTCTATCTGCTCTATTTTCCTTGTTCCTTTTTGCTCATCTTGGCCTCTGGCTTTCCTGTGACTTCCTGTGTTTCCAAAGGGGGAGTGATGGGCGGGCTCAGCCCTGCTGTCTGGCTTCTAGACCTCTAGGACTTGATTGGGGCAGCCCCGGTGAGGGGCCCCCGAACTCAGTATCTGACGCTCACTTAACTTCCCTGATCATCAACTCAGAGCCCCGGCCCTCAATCCTGTCTTCTGTCTTGTAGGCCACAGACCTTGTTTATTCTCTTTAGAGAGTAAAACTCAGCTCTTGCAGGCTCAGGAAGGACAGCCATCTGTCGGAGTGAAATCAGAAGGGATCTGGCAGTCCCGCTGCCTCGCGAGCCACCTTGCAGCCCCTCCTCCTGTCCTGACTTCCTTTTGCCTCGAGCCCTGGGGGGCCTCTGTCCAGACCTCTGGGGTCCGCTGGCTTTGCGGCCATGATTGCTGCTGGGCCCTGTCTCCCTCAGCCACCTTAGCACGCGAGAGGCCGAAGTCTGCTGCCAGCCGACTAGGCGCTCTTGCTTTCAGACTGAAGTTACTGTTATCTCTTCTCCCAGATATCCGCCCTTGTAGACCACGCTATTTTTAAGTTTTTTTATTCTGATTTAGTGGAATATCAAAAGATAGTGAAAATAAATGCTATGTCCAGTTCACTGTCCTGAAAAAAACAAAGGACACTATTTCTATTTTTACTCCTGAAGGCTTCGTGGTTTTTCTTCGGCTGTCATCACTGTGACCTCTCTTGATGTGTTTTGCGAATGTCCTCGAGCTGTCCTGCCAACCTTCACGTCCGCGGCACGCAGATGAATGGTGCTCTCCTCGTCCTCTGTGAACACAGTGCGGTGCCTGCTGCAGACAGATAAATAGTAGACAAGGAAGGAGTTGCTGTCTATGCAGTCCTCGCGGCGCAGAGGGAATCGGTTCTGGGGCTCCGCAGAGGCCGAAATGCAGCAAAGCGCCAGTCTTGGGTCCAGAGTGGCCTGGCATTTGCGTATCACCTGCACATGCTCCGCTGCAGACTTTAGATCATCTTTTTTTTTAAAGGGTAGAATTAATACTTTATCATTTATAATCAGATGGCAGTTGAGTTTATAGTTTCCATACTTATTTTTTAATAAATTAAAAGTTTTAAACAGCTGAGAGTTACATTCTTCAGAAAACACAGTTAGGCTACCTCATTAATGGTGGCTTTAAGCATCTCCTTATTCGCACCAGAAAACTCACTCACCATCTCTCCCCTTTTAAAAAACTGGAAAGTTGGCACGCTCCTGACCTCACAATCTGCGGCAGTGTCCTGACGGTCAGTCATCCGCATCTACTTCAAGGAACAACACGTTGGGATATTTTTCAGACCGGGAATGAAAGAAAGGCTTGATCACCTTGCAAGGCCCACACCATGAGGCTGAGAAATCAGCTACTACAAGTTTATCTCCTGCATCAGCCAAGGCTTCCTGAAAGGCTGCCTGGCTTTTGATCCACTACACCATGCTGGCTGCTGGGGGCCTGAGGAGCCACCAAAGCAGATGGAAGGCGCGGGACGTGGCTCCTAGATCACCCAGAGATTCTGTTTGTACCTGATGAGCGTAGATGCTGTGTAAATAGTTGTCCCCCTGGATTATGTACCACAGGAAAAGCCTGCCCACGCAGGTCGAGAGGCAGGCGATTCTGTGTGGGGCTGGAGGCCCTGGGCACAGAGCCCGGGCATGGAGGGCGAGCTTTCTGTGTGTGCACTTCTTCTCTTGCGGACTGCGTTGTGTGTGCTTGCACTAGTCAGTGTAATCCACTTAAAGAAACAGAAGCTGAAGAAAGAAGATAGATACATTTTGGTATTGGCCAGACCAGGTGTGCACACTGTGACCCCAGCTCCCTGGGAGGCCGAGGCAGGAGCATGGCAAACTTGAGCCCAGCTGGGCAGTTTAGCAACTTAGTGTGAATCTGTGTCAGGATTTAAGAAACAAAAGAATTGTTTTAAAAGGCTGGGGATCTGACTGAGTATGTAGGCCCTGGGTTCAAGCCCCAGTAACACAAAGAAAAAGAAAAGAAAGGTATCGTGACATTCTAGTGAGCCACATGAAAACAGTGAGCACAGTTTTCATGCAAAACAGGTTTATGGGGGCCAGGGAGATAGCTCAGTAGAATAAGCACTTGCCTGGCAAGTGCAAGGACCTGAGTTCAATCCCCAGTTCCACAAAAAAAAAAAGGTTTACGCTGGGTGTAATTTTTCTTTGGCTCAACAGCTTTGTAATTAAATGAGCACCTGCTGGTGCATGCATGGCGCCCTGAGCCTGGAGTGGGTCCTTACCCAGTCCCCTTCTCCTCTCCTTAGTGCCTGCAGTGGACGTGAAAGGAGAGCGCGCTGGCTACTGCCTCCTGGTGCACGGCGGCGGGACCGGGGGCAGGTGCAGAGCCACCCTGCTGTACTCAGCTGGCCAGATCAACGGGGCCTTCGTGCTCGGATTCATTCACGGGAAGATGAAGACCAAGGCAGCGGACTCCCAGCTGCGTGAGTGTGAGCTCCAGGGCGCGAGGGCGCATCTGCATTTGTTTCTGGAGTTCGCCTGTGTGGTTTTGAGTAGGACAATTAGATATTTCATGGAATTATGTCCCTGTACTCTGCTTCTGACATTCATTTACCCTATTTTATATTTTTTAAGTGAGGAAAACTAATTTCTTTTGCACTATGTAGTACAATTTGGTAGGTCAGCCTTCATTTCCAAATAGGAAGTTTTGATATCTTCTGCTTTAAATACACATTTTATTTTTCCATAACTTTTTTTTCTCTTCATTCACGTTCTCTCCAGCCTTTCCTATGCATCCCTCTTCTTTCCCCCCCACTGCGCTTTTTATCTGGGTATCTATCACTGCTGACCAGTTGCCCGAATCAACCCAGGCATGGTCACCTCCCTCATCCAGGGTGCTGTGTGGGCCCGGTTGGACATTTCTGTGTTAAGTTCCCGTGTGGGACTGGGGCGCACGCAGCTGTGGTTGTGTCTGGAAGACTCCCAGGGCTTGCATCCCAGGGCCCCCGCTGTGGTTCTTGGCCCCCATTTGGTGCCTGTGCTAGGACGGCAGGCGTGGAGAGCTGTTTCTTCCCGTGTTCCCTTCCCACTGCCAGGGCGGCCTCCCTTCCGGCACTGTGCTCCCAAGACAGTCTTGACTTCTCCGTGGTGGCTGTGTCCCTGCTGTGGTCATGCTAAGAAGTAGCAGGTCCCTGAGTGTCACTGGTACCCAGCCTCATAGCTGGTTACCAGCCTGGGGCAGGCTCCTGAGGTAGCGAGACTGCGCAGCCCCAGGGCCACTTTCCACATGCTGCTTGCTGGTCTCTCTGAGCCCAGTGAGGCAGAGCACACTAACACACAGCAGGTTCCGTGTGAGCAAGAGGCAGCTATCGCGGAAGACCATAGGGCCCGTGGTGAGCTGGCTTCCCAAGTGCTACGTGCGCTGCAGCTGGGGAACCCAGAGGTGACATGACTTGTGTCTGTGTCCTGCTAGGGCCGTGGGACTCTGGGCTAAGCTGTGAAGACACTGCTTATGGAGGACACAGGAGTAAGCCTGAGCCCTACATCAAGGCAGTGCATCCTCAGCGCAGGGCACAGCCCAGCGGCCATGGGAGCTGGGGAGGTGGGGAGCGGGGAGAGGCTCAGAGGCGGGAGCCTTTTCTTTTTTCGTCCTGTCATAACTGTTGCTAGGAACTGTTCATTGCTTGCTCCCACCTATGTTGAATGTTTTCTGTTTTTAGGCTGTCCTTTGGACCTCGGAGCACTTCCACGTTTCTCTGCAGAGCAGGTTGTCCAGAGAGAGGAGCGTTTAGCGACTGCACAGGCGCTGGTGTTGAGAGCCTGCCTGGGTGAGTAGCGTCTGCGCTGCACTCCTGGTGGGACGGCTACCGCATAGACTCAGGCCATTGTTGTCCGCACACTTGCACTCGCAGACGCCACACTCCTGTGTGGAGCTGCTCTGGATCCCAGTGACGCAGGGCAGAAGAGGTCTGCGCCTTTGTTCCCCTGGATTCAGAACCTGCCGTTTGTTTACACGTCATGTTTAGCACCTAGACAAATAACCCACCAGGCAAATTTTGTGTTTCCTAATTTGTTTTTGATGATATGATAGAAAATTACAAGTTTTATTTTATATATGTAAAACCGTTGTCTATTTCTGGTAGTATGATGGTAGTTTGCAAATGGAAGAAAATGCAACTCCAGAGAAATTGTCAGTAAAGCACTGATTAGGCTTTTTTAATAGATTGCAAATTGAAAATAAATTATTCACAAACATAAATGAATATAACAATAAAAACTGTCCAAAATAAAAATGAAGAAAGAATTTACAGATCAGTCATAATAGTTCACTGTCAAAACCAAGAAACATATTCATATAATTAGAATTCTCAAAGTAGAAAGGAGTAGGCAATAAAT